CTTTACTGGAGAAGTTACTATACAAACCTCATGAACCAAAAATACAAGATCACGTAAGAACGCGACGTTGTATTTGTAACTGGTTTTGAGAAAAAAGTTTGTGAAAGCGGGTTCGTCAGCTGAGCGTTTGTTTACATCACAAGCACCACTATTTTACACTTTTATTCTAGTAAAGAAGACTTAATTAAACATGACAACACATTTTAAAGCATTTTGTTGCATCATTTTACCTAAATTGTGCGTTTAAAGTGGCTGACAATAACTTTGGCTAATTTTGGTTTTCTGTGTTCTGCGTTCTCGACTAACTTCAGCTTAATTTCATCTTTACTGGAGAAGTTACTATACAAACCTCATGAACCAAAAATACAAGATCACGTAAGAACGCGACGTTGTATTTGTAATTGGTTTTGAGAAAAAAGTTTGTGAAAGCGGGTTCGTCAGCTGAGCGTTTGTTTACATCACAAGCACCACTATTTTACACTTTTATTCTAGTAAAGAAGAGTTAATTAAACATGACAACACATTTTAAAGCATTTTGTTGCATCATTTTACCTAAATTGTGCGTTTAAAGTGGCTGACAATAACTTTGGCTAATTTTGGTTTTCGTTGTTTTCTTTGCTTTGTTTACTTTTCGCTCGTTTTCCAGTGAAACAAGATGGCGTAGAACCCGCTAAAAAAAATCGATTTTTTTCACTCTCTTGTTCTTACGTGATCTTGTGTCTTTCGTTCATGATACAAACCTATTGTCTGGCATGAATAGGGTTCGAAATTTCAGACTTTGGTATCGATACTGAGTACTCATTCTGGCATCGAGCTCATGGTATCGATACTCTAAACGTATCAGGGAAAAAGTATCGATACTACTCAGTATCGGACTCATTAAAATACGTTTTTTGGGATACTTAAATTATTTTATTCTTCAATCGTATATCTAGTTATTTCCTGAAATTAAAACAGTAGAAATTTAAAATATTTGATTTTTATTTCATTGCAGAACTTACTTTCACGTTAGAAGTAATTTTAACGTTAAATGTACATACATACATACATATTTCAAATTTTATTAAGAAATTTTTGTAACCTTTTTGGGTATGCATTTTTGTAGCCTATTCAATTTTAGTATAATAATGTGCAAGTTTGAATCAAAAGTCAACGGTAGTAGGCTACACGTAAATTTGAATAGGTTACAAAACTGCATACCCAAAAAGTTTCTAAAAATTCTGCATTTTCGTGAACTCTGCGTAAAGTTTTATGGCCTTCTTCATAAAAAATAAAAATGGTTTATAAACTGAAAAATGTATGAAAATGTCATTTTATTAAGCTCTTTAAACCTACTTTATGTTTTATGAATAAGGCCATTAAACTTTAACTTATTTGGTTTATGTTATGCAACAGACTACACGCAGTTACAGTTTATTTTAAGTGATGGGCAAAATTGAAAGATAGTAATCTATATAAGCAAAGAAAATTGGGTTGCCAATGGAAGAAAAAATTTAAAAAGTGTGTTTTTTAAAAAGTATTCGATACTACGAGTACTTTGCAAAGTATCGAGTAAAATCACCAAATAAGGTATCGAGTATTAAAGTACTCATTTTTATACCCTCAGTATCGATACTTACTCAATATCGATAGTATCGTTCGAACCCTAGGCATGAACGAAAGACACAGATCACGCCTTCCCGAAAGAAAGAAAAAAGTTATTTTCTAGCTGTTGAAATCTCGACGCCATCTTTGTTGTAAGAAGTAAACAACGAAGAGAACAAAAAAACGCGTAATTGTTGAACGCATGAATAATCATTTTTATTATGCAAATTCTTCTATAAATCATGTCGATGTGTTAAATTATTCTTTACCTTATGTGTGCACACGTTGTCACAAGCGAAAATTAAGAAAATTGCAGTAAAAAGCCACCACCAAATTGTAAACCACGAACAAATGTAAACAAACGGCTAATGTCAAAGTCGCCCAACTTTTTTCCTAAATGCGATTATAACGGGCTACTAAGAAGAAGGCGTGATCTTGTATTTTTGGTTCATGATTGTCTGGTGTAAACCCTAAGTATGGTCTTTTAAACTTTGGTACTTTTTCGGCAAATTTTCCTAATTATTGGATGTGGTCGAAATCGCTGTCGTTTTACTACAAAAACTTAAAACTACATCATATGTGTACATATGATACCCGTATAAGATATCCTTTTCATCTTCGTGTAAAAGCTGATATTTAATTAAGATGAGTATTCCCTCAGATACCAACCCCGCTCCTAGTCCTACTTATGACAATGATGACGAAGAAATTATTAACTGGGAGGAGGAAGCAGTTGCGATTATACGAGATGTTAATCTTCATGTTGCACTAATTGAAATCTCCCGACAACTGCCCAACAACGAGAGTAAAGTGTACCTGAACGTGCGCACTATCGAGGGTCAGGAATACTGTGTGCAAGTATCGAGTATTGGTTTTCGCGTGGTTGCCAATAGATTTGATACAATTGATGCTGATAAAAGTGAAGTAAATGAGGACGAAGAGGTTTATGAAACGCCATATTCTTTGTTAGATAAAATCAGTCCCAGCTACGTGGAGTCCTTTGGCAATCAACTTTGCAAACAATTACTTTCTGTACAACAAATGCGTACACAATTCAATGAAGAAGACGAGGAGGGTGCCGATGAAGATGACAGTGAGTGCACAAAAGAGTCATTGTGAGAAAAGAAGTCTGTTTCTGACATTTTATAATCGAGGAGAGCCAAAAGAGATTCAACCTTAAACTAAATGAAAGCTGAAAAACAAATACAAATTAGCTGTAAGCAATTTCCATTTTAATTTATGCTTGTAATTATGCAT